AATTTAGGACAGGAGACTAGAGGATAAAGGTTAAGAATAAATAGGCTGCAACAGAGATTATCATAAGTAATGAATTCTGTGTATGTATGTGTGTGTATGCATGTGTGTGGGTTGTAAACAGATTTGGATTAATGTTTATCCCAAACAAGAGATTATTACATATCTGTTTCTGGTTGTAAACAGATATTCTAAAACAGAAGGTTTATGTTTGTGAAAAGCAGTTACAGGTGTTCTGCATTGATGATATGTTATATTTTAAGAAAATTCATCTGTTTGGTTATTTCATCAAACATTGAATGGGGATGAATTTGGCACCTTTTAGTCCTTTGCTAAACAATTATTGACACAAATGCATTCTCTATGGAACGGTTCATGAAGACCATCCAGAAGTTCTTTGGGAGATTTGAGGTTTTCCCATTATTTATTAATTTTCTGATTGTCCTTTAAAGACAATGATTGAGACCTGGACCTTCTCCCAATGGTTTTCATCCTAATACTAAGTTCTCATCTTCATGGGCCAGGAGAACATGTCTTCTCAATCCAAACCTTCCTTGTTAAACAGCATGATCTCCAGAACTTATATTGTATCTCACATTGCTAATTTTTAGAAAGTTCATTAAAATGAAAATGAAAGCTTCTCCAGAAAGCCTCAGAGATAGAATGAGTATATCATTACATTTTAACTATTTTCCTCAAGGTGCTCTGGCATCCTGCCTGATTTGTAACTCTGGCTTGCAGGTATTTTTAATCTAATGATTGGTATTTAGGGCAGCTTTTTGCAAACAAAGAAGCTTTTTGTATTTTTGTACAGGTAATCCTTGACTTACAACAGTTCATTTAGTGACCATTCAAAGTTACAGTGGCACCGAAAAAGTGACTTATGACCATTTTCCACACTTCTGACCGTTGCAGCATCCCCACTGTCATGAGAGGCCAGGCGAGGAGAAACACCCCTTGACATGAGTGATGTCGAGTTGGCTATGCCCACCCAGTCACATGACCCACCAACTAAGCCACGCCCACAGAACCGGTTGTTAAAAAAACTGAATCCTACCCATGGTTGTACTGCATAAATGTTTTTCCTGAGGGACTCAAGCATCAGAGCCATTTATTTTGCTTCTGTTGGTATTTATGAAACCAGTTGCAGAAGGCTAAGCATGGGATGCCACAGACCCAGGCTTCCCTTTCATTTGAAAAGTTGATAATATATTAGGATTTCTAAAATACCGGAAATGCCGAAACAGGGCCATTTTTTGGCCTCCAAGGTTGCAGAGGCTTGCTTTGAGCCCCTGGGAGGGTGAAATTTTTCAGCATTTCAGGCTCCACAGGCCCTCCGGAGGCTGAAAACGGGTACTTCCGATATTTCTGGAAGGCCCATTTTTGGACCTCCCAAGGCTGCAGAGGCTTCCCTCAAGCCTCTGGGAGGGCGAAAAAGGCCTCAAATGGGCCGAAAATCAGCTGGGAGGCATGCGCATGCGCATTGCAGGTAAGGGGGCGGGGGTGTTGTGTGTGCATGCACAGGGGGGTAGGGCGCATTGTATTGTGGGTGCCGGCACACGCGCACGCTTTCAGCACACCACAACAAAAAGGTTCGCCATCACTGTTCTAGGAAGATATAAGTATTTAGAAATAAGAATGACAAAGGTTGGCATCAATTTACTAATATGATTATGATTATCTTCTATGCATGATTAAAATGGAATAAGTCATGGCAGAATCTTTCATTATCATTGTTTGGTAGGAAAACACACTTAAAAAGACAAATCTTCATAAAATTAGATTTTTGTTTCAAACACTTTCAGTTCCATGATGTACTGCTTAATTTGGTATAAGGGAAGAATTTTTAAAATTTATTTTTAGAATTCATTTTTATATAACTATAAAAAAATTAATGGGCAAAATACATAATATGTGCAAAAGCATTATGGGCAGAGGTGGTATTCAGCAGGTTCTGACCAGTTCTGGAGAACCGGTAATGGAAATTTTGAGTAGTTCAGAGAACCGGCAAATGCCACCTCTAACTGGCCCTGCCCCAATCTATTCTCTGCCTCCCAAGTTCCAGCTGATCGTCTGGGTCTTCTTTTGTTTCCCTGCACAGGAGAACAGAACTGGAAAGCAGGTTAATGGGGTGGGGAGGGAATGGGGTTTTTGCAGTAATCTTCCCATGCCATGCCCATCAAGCCACGCCCACCAAGCCACGCCCACAGAACCAGTAGTAAAACATGTTAAACATGTTAAAATGTTGATGCTTGTCAATTAAGACAATCCATGTAATTAGGAAGGAAAATAGTTTTATAGAATTATTTCAGATAGAGGTTCTGTTAGCTTTGGATGCGGTACTATTCCCTCTGATTATATACTGTATATTCTATCATTTCAAATGCCTAATAAGTTTTTAAAAGGTGAAAACAAATTTTGGTTTCTAATATTTTCCTTTCCTGCCATTCTTCTCATCTTCTTTTTAACATGAGAATAAATATATTTAAGACAAGAAAGAGAAGGTAGATTTTACAGAGTAGATTTATAAAAGTGATCTTAAGGATCAACTTGCTTTCAGATAGCTCAAGGTTTCCTTCATGAAAGTCTCAACTATCAGAAATTGATGTTCATGTATTTCAGGTAGCATCTAAGGAATCATATCAGTGATATTTAATACTCTTTAAATAAGCATTGAATAGTTCATTAATGTTGATGGGGAAGGCAAACAATAAAAAGTACATCATGATGAAAGCTTTTCCTCTTATATATTACTAGCTGGATACCCGTGCTTCGTGATGAAACTGTGTGATCAGGCTATGCAGGAACCTGGGCTTTCCTTCTTCACTTCCTCCTTTCCCTTCCTCTTTTCCCATCCTTTTCTTTCCTTCTTTCCTTCCTTCCTTTCTCTTCCTCCTTTCCTTCTTTCCGCCTTTCCTTTCGCTTCCTTTCCTTTCCTTCTTTTCTTTCCCTTCCTCCTTCCTCCTTTCTCCTTTCCATTCCTTTATAATCTATCTATCTATCTATCTATCTATCTATCTATCTATCTATCTATCTATCTATCTATC